TCATACTTACAATTAACGAAGGGCAAACCTGACCATTACAAGAGTTATACAGATTTACATTTCTGTATCTGGTTTTAGTAAAACCAATGCAATCAGGTACGCAACTACTCCATTGGCTCCAGTCACCAACCTGGAAATAGAAATGTAGCATGCATTACGGTGGACGGAGTGGCCAACTAGGTGTGTATCCATCGCCAATCAGTATGGTACTGAAGAAGCGAGATATCATACAAGGCCTACATTTTGTTTGACAATAAACAATAAGGTTGTCAGAATCTAGCATTGATTTACTAAATTATATAATTCTATGGCTCTCTGGCGTGCTATAAACCTTTTATGGTTTTTCCAAGATTATTGATTGCTTTGTCATCTAGGCGATTATCTCACAACAACAATATTATATACTTTGGATAACTTCATTAAGTCTTGAATGTGTCTAAACAATTATATAAAAAAAAAAGAGTCCGCAAACCTGACAATCAGTATTGACATAGCTTTCGCACCCTTGATTTTGTTCGATAACAATTGTGCTACACTTGTCTCTGCAGTTTGATGGAGTAAGGATCGATCGACTGCGAGTTTGGGTGCCAATTCCACATGATGAGGAACATGAAGTCCAACCAGACCATTCTGTAAACTCACATTCGCTAGGCCCACTACCCACGCATTGCCGAGATTGAAAAGTTTCTTCACATACTGCTCCCCCGCAGTCTGACGCGGTCGTAATTGTTCGCAGTCGAGTTCTACAAACGGGAGACATAATGATTTTGATAAAATTAGGACAAAACCATAAACTAAAGTAATTTATACCTGTCAACATCATTCATACACCAAGTTCACATTATGTTTTAGGCTTAATTATAGTAAAACGGGATCTATACCAAAGAATGTTTTCTGGTTCGAATTTGGATAAGGATCTGATCGCGTAATATGTTGCTTTAGAATCTAGTTCTGTTAAACACAAGAAGGGGATGTGGTAAGGGAATATGACAATAAGGTCCAGGGGCGGATCCTGAGATGTCTGAAAGGGAGCCGAAAATGAGGCCGACCGATATACCCTAGGGGTCCGGAGGCATTCCCCGGCGAAAATGTGGTGTTTAGACGCCCGAAAATAACCTCAAAGGAGCTTTGGGTGATCATTTTCTTTTTTCTTCTTTCCTTTCTTTTTTCTTTTTTTTTTTTTTTTGCTTTCCAAATGGAGGGGGCGGGACCGTCCTGCCCCCTCTAAATCCGCCCCTGTAGTCACATCATTTAGAACATTAGGCCTTCTTACAATGAATTCTACATGCTTTTGGTGGTGGCCGTGCAATGCTGTTAATAATATTTTTGAAAGGTTTAAGGCAGACGAGGCCTAACTAAAGCGAAATATACCCACTGTTGACCAGTTCCACATTGTGTAGAACACCCGGACCATTCTTCCCAAGATGTCATCTCACAATTGACAGGACAGCATAACCCCTGGCAGCTCTCAGCTTCTGACTCTTCCCCACACGCAAGTCCCCCACAGATGGGTTCTGAGACAATGACTCGAGTTCTCTGGCGGGTGCCAGTACCACATGAGCCACTGTCTAGGGCGCACAGACTCCAGTCACTCCAGGTACCTTCCTGCAATAAGAAAGGGCAATGGTATTGTTTTGAAACTTGAAGAATAAATTATCAATACATATTTGAATAATATCTACATTGTATAATTAAATTAGTCATCATTGTTAAAACTAACAAACTTTATACCTTGTTATGACCATCGAATTGGCTGGTTATCATTATTTTAAAATCTTGATAGTAAAAATCTTGAAAATCGGCAAACATTAGTTGTTTTGCTCCTTATTTAACCTGTTTCCCAATATTATTAATGAAGTGTTTGAAACATTAAACTTACGATGCAGTTTGCAGGATAAGTAGTTCCATAGCAAGGTTTGTCTTCCAGGGTAATTTTATTGTCACATGGTGTACCTCCACAACTGTCCTGGGTGATCACACCACGAGCTCTGGTCTGGTTTCCAGCGTCACTGGAACAGTTGGCGCTACATTGAGACCACGTGGACCACAGGCCGAGTTCACAGTCTATGGGGCAACACCCAGAGCCTTGGAAGCATATTCTGCTTTCTGATAACTGATGACATGGTTCTCCGCGACAGGTTTGTGATATGATACTTCTTTCCCGAGTCTGTATTCCTGTATTACCACTACCACATGGTTCACTACAGTCTGTCCATTGAGTCCATTTTCCTACATTGCACAATTCATCACAGCAGGGATTTCCGCATTTAGTTTCTGAGAGCGCGCCACATTGTTCACTGCAACTGATGTCTGTTGATTCATTCCTATACCGGTTACAAATCTCTTCTAAGATGTTGCCAGCAGTGCAGACACCACATACACATGACCAGTCTGACCACCCACTAACTTCACAGGTTCCGTAACAAGAACCAGTTTCCGTGGAATCACTTTCTGTGCATTGCTGTCCCCCGCACGCTCCCTGTACTATTGGCCGTGTTCTTGTTCGGATCCCCAGTGTGTTTGCACATGGAGAGGTGCAAGCCATCCAATGCTCCCATGATAGCAGAACACAGTCCGTTTCACAGCAAGAAGCAGAACATGCATCAGTTTCTTCCAGTGTAAGACATGGCTCTGCAGTACAAGTTCCGAGAGCGGTTCGAGTTCGTCGCTTGATGCCTGATGAGGTGCTGCCGCAGGGCACATTGCATTCCGACCACACACCCCAATCAGAAACAGTACAGTTTGGATCACAGCATTTCTCCCGGCATTCCTGCTCGATGAGCTCACCACAGCTACTTACACATGTGGTCACATCACTCTCAGTTCGAGTTCTTGTGCAATATTGATGTTCAGCGTTATCGCCTGTAGCACACTGACTACACAGGCAGTTCCAATCTGTCCAAAACGACAACGTGCATTCACCTTGACAAACCTCTGTTTGACTTGTGATTTCATTTTCACACGATGAACCTCCACATTGGGCTTGCTGAATATCGCGTGTTCTAATTTTGATCCCAGTATCGTCTGCACAAATCACAGAGCATTTTGACCATTCAGTCCATTCTGAGAAGCTACAGTTTACAGGGCAACAACCAGGGTCACAACTCCGTGTCTCTGTCAGATGATTACATGGTTCCCCTATACAAAATGCTGGGTTGTAAGTTCTTGTGCGCATCTGATTTCCAAGAATACTACCACATGGCTGGTCACATGAACTCCATGTGCTCCATTCACTAGTGATACAATTGTTATCACAACATACATCGTTACATACAGTCTCACTAAGGCTACCGCATTGACTGTTGCAATCAGTTCCTAATTCTTGCCGATCACGGGAACACACATTATTGAATACACTATCACCAGTGTTACAAAACCAGCAGAAACATGACCATGGACTCCATTCAAGTAGTTGACACTCACCTGCACAATCTTGAGTTTCAGCAGTACTAGTATCAGTACAAAGAATGCCCCCACATGTGCCTTGGGTAACCTGTCTACTACGAGTACGTACTCCATTTTCTGAAGCACATGACACACTACACGCGCTCCACTCACTCCACTGTGTAACCATGCAATCGACAGGACAGCATGTATCCGGTGTACATGTTCTTTCCTCATACAAGTCAGAACACGGTGCACCAATGCAGAACAATGCATTGTATGTTCGTGTTCTGTTTTCATGTCCAGATACGCCAGACCCACAACTTGAGGAACAAACTGACCATTGGCTCCATTCTGAAACAATGCAGAACACATCGCAGCATTTGTCAGTAGTGCATCCTGATTCTCCAGTGGTGGCGCAGTCAACAGAACTGCAATATGATGGACCAGAGACGTCACGTTCACGCGTACAGACGCTATACAAGCTATCCACAAATCCAGAACAAAGTGAACAGGTACACTGCCAGTTACCCCACTCACTTAACTGGCATTCACCTTCACAAGTACGTGCTTCATCTATTGATTGACATTCTGCACCCCCACACTCAGCATTGGTCGTAATTTCACGTGATCTAGTCTGCATCCCAACACTGCAAGAGTTGTTACATTCCGACCATTCATTCCACTGAGTTAAAACACAGTCGACGGGTGTACAATTTGGACACTCTGCACAGTCCTGACTTTCGAAAGTAATTTCGCATGGCTCACCTAAGCAAAAGACGGTTGAGTACTGACGTGTTCGATTTTGTGTTCCTCCACAAGGTTGAGGACAAGTAGTCCACTCACCCCAGTCTTCAGCCAGACAGAGCTCATCACAACATGAGTTAATGCAGTCGTTTACCTCAACTAAATCAGTGCAGTTGGTGTTACATTGGTTATTTGTACCATATGTCCTTTCTCGAATACAGATATCCGCTAAACTGAAAGTACTTTGACACAAGGAACATGAGCAGCTCCATTCACTCCATTCAGTTGTCGGGCATGGCACACATTGCTCTGACTCGATCGTATTTTGACAGGGTTCACCCAAACAAAACAGATCTTCGTACATTGCGGTTCTATTTCTAGATCCTCCACATGATTCGGAACACGACCCCCAATCACTCCAAGATGAAATAAGGCAGAATTCATCGCAACAGGTCTCGTTGTTACATAATACATCCACAGCGTTGAAGCAAGATGCATCGCAAAGCTCATTAAGGGCAATTCGAGTCCTTGAGCATTGTTCATTTAGTTTTGCGACTGTAATGTCGCATAACTGGCAGGCACATGTCCAGGTAGTCCACTCTGATACTTCGCACAAGTCGCATTCACCACATTCTGGACAATCAATTGACTCTTCTGTCGCACTACAAGGTTCGCCCAAACACAACATTGGGTCCCGGGTACGTTCTTGAGATCCACCACATGGTTCAGGGCATAAAGTCCATTCACTCCATTCAGATAGCACACAGACCTCATCACAACAAGCATCACCACATTGCACTCTCTGAACATCTAAACACTGGTCATCGCAGTCGGCATCAATTGCGGTTCGACTTCGTGTTTCCAGAGATCTAAGTTCAGTATTACATAAAACACAAGTAGTCGAAGAGCTCCATGCGCTCCATTCACTATAGTCACACAGACTGCAGGTAGCACACTCAGTGCACGCACGTGACTGTTGCGTACCGACACAAGGAGGCCCTGTGCATCCACTGTAAGATCGTGTACGAATCTGGTTACCGCCACAGGTCGCAGGGCAAGCTGACCAGCTCCCCCACTCATTGACAGAACATGCGATGCTGTTGTCGCAAGAACAATTCTCCATGCAGACATTTTCCTCGAATGCGATTAATTCACAACCTTGACATAAATCCGGAGTAATAGCCAATCGGCTACGGGTACAATTGCGATGCAGGGTTTCGTTTCCGTCGTAAAGAAGTGTTCCCGTAATTGTCTCATTTTCATAATGGTTTGGTTCGCATAAATCGCACAAACAGCTCCATGAACTCCATTCGTCTGTCTGGCAATATCCACTACATGGTCTTGTCTGCTGGAAAGTACACGGGACAAAGCATTCCTTAGGATACGAAGAACGGTTTCTTGACTCGATGCCATTACCGTCACATGTATCATTGCAAGAGTACCAGTCACTCCACTCTGTAACTCCACAATGTGTGTTACAGCATTTTTCAAAACATTGGAGATCACCGATTAAGTCGAGTTCACAATCATCATCTTGACAACCGTCTGGTATAAAGACAACGCTTCGAAGTCGCAGACAAGAGCGTCGAGTAGTGTTGTCAAACTCGTTACAAATAGCGCAATAGCAAAATGTCCAGTCACTCCATTCGGTGTACTCGCAAAGAGAAACATCGCATTCTGTTTGCCGACGGTGGACACCAATTCCTTCTAGTGGATGTAGCTTATTTGTTGAGCTTGTCGCTGAAGAAGACACTTCGACGCTCTGGAACTGTTCCCTGAACATGTCAAGTGGCGAGAAAATGTTAAACATTGTGACGATAGGGAGGAAACAGCCAACCATCATAGCTATAAACAAAGTGTAACCACAACAATAATATACACGGTTAGATGGCAACATGTTTGAACAATTAAGATTAATATAATAAATAATCAAATTTAGCACTTGAAGACGCAAAGAACAGTCCGAAGATCACTAAGTAAAATAATACGATCAAAAGAAATAGATAAAGTAACTAAAAGTGCTCATCAAAAATATTCAGTCTTTTCCAAATTGTGTATTATTCCAAACAACGATAACATTTTCCGTTAAATTTGGGTTTGGAATGATACAAATGAAACACTGTGACGTCATAATATAGTAGGCGTGTCAAGCGTTTCTGTAGTTTTTAATAACTACCAATTTAAGGTTGATATATGAGATGATCCTGCACTATTACATTTCGGAAATCTTGATGCCGATACCTATGCCTGTGTAAGCAGATAGTATCAATATTCTAAGTGAAGCATATTGAACTGACCATTTCTGTCAGTATCTTGTACGTATATTGTATTGTTATTGGCGACACTATATAATGTAGGTCACGCCCATTCAACAGCTTGTTATCTGTTGCTCTGATATAACATCAAAACTTCCAAAGAAAAGGATTTTATTTTTCATGGTTTATATACAATGAAGCCTTTTGTTCTCTATAAGCTGCTTATTTGATTATATAAAATATGCAATTCAATGTTTAAATTTAATTTTTTCAAAGTCATATTTCAAGCAGTAGGACTTGATCTTGATTCTTAATGATGTTCTAGATTTATGATTATTGTTTTTGTAAATACTGCTTAATTTATCGCTACATGTAAGATATACACTCCAGTTATGAGTTTAAAAAACTAATAATATTTGTATTGATTACTTTGTAGTATATTTTATTTAGTTACTTACAAAAAAACCCGTCATCCTACTTTTATTCATAATATTTCAATTGCTATCATACTATAACCTCACATTAAAAAAACACACTTATATATACAGTAATACACTGCACCGTATAATGCTTCTGTATAAAATAAATCAAATAGGCCTAAATCAGCATATTGTTTAAAACAAGGTTGACCAATCTAGCATTATCTTATAGGCAAAAATAATTTTCATTAATTTTACCTATCAAAATATGTTTAAACTTTCATTTTTCTCGCTCAAAAAAAAAATATATTTAAATCAAAAAATAAACTTTAAAATTGCCAGTGACCGCTCGCTGTTTAAAGGATGCCATAACCCGCCGTGATTACGGGTGCTGGTTCAGTATTTAGGTTCAATGGGTTAAATAAAGTAACGATTTGTTGTACATTGAGGAATTCCTCCATAATAGAACCACGTAAATTAAATTACAGTACACTTTCAAAGAGACATACGTATTGCCATTATTCTTTTACATAGACCCATATTGGCTGATAATCAATCGATTTAAGGAGTTTTGTAATATAATATCTGTACCTCAGCGAAATTATATATATTTTTTGATTTGTTTCTGGTTGGAAGGTAAGCTTATTTTATTCTTTCAAATGAGCCTTTCAGCATTTGTATTCGATTTTTTACGTTTCTTTCGATTTTTCAGCAGAGAGTATATTTTCTTTCAGTTTTAAATTTGAATGATAAAATATATTCACCATTTATTTTTGTTTTAAATGAGTCGGTCACTATTAACTAAATCGTGTAAATCATGTGTATAAATGAGGTTAAGCTTGGTTTTCTTAAAATCGCTACACTGTCGCCACAGTGTTTTTAGTGGACCTAAATAAAAGGACCTTATTAATATGTCATTGTTGTACTATGTGTAGCAGTCCTCGACGCACTCGGGAAGGCTCCCCGATTCGATCTACCAATCAGCATCAACCAAAGCTGTCCGCGATAGCGTGTGGCGATTGCAGGCTGGTTGGGAAACCAAGCTTTATGTAGTAATAATGTTTGATGTTCCATAATTATCAATTTGTTACATAACTCATTTTCTCAATTTGCTTGGTCTGTTATTGTTTGTTGTACAATATTTTTTAAGTACAAGTGTTTTTTTTTTTTTTTTTTTTTTTTGCCTTTTGTATTTTTATGTTCTCTCCTACATTTTTATATATTTTCCCAATTTTAATTTTCCTCCTTTTAATTGTGTCTTTATTCTTACTTCGTTTTATTATACCGTATTTCAATGTTATTAATAACTTCGTACCTGATAATTTTAATCAAAAGTGTATTTTAACATGTATTGAATAGCATTGTTTTTTATTGTTTTGTCTTTTTAGTGTAAGAATTTTTTATTGTAAATTTGATGCAATTCAGCCACCAAAATGCAATCAAATATTGAATAAATTAATATAAAATAAATTGAAATAAAAAAGTTATTTTTAGTGATTTTGTTTACGGTCTTCCAAGATTTTACAGTTATATACAATTACAATATTTATTGGATAACACTTTTATAACAGTGGCACACGTTAGACAAATTCTAACGGTGCATCCAGAAAAGAACAAAGCAACAGAAATAAAAAAATTAAATTCTTAATTATGAGAGATTTACAGATAACTCAAATAACATTATTGCCCACCCACCAATCAACTGTTACTGTTTATCCAATTTTAAGTGGTTTCTACACTTTTCATGTGCAATCATCATACATAAAACAACAAAGCATTTTTTAGGTATACAGTATATACAGGTCCAATAAGAATTGCAATTATTTTTCATTTCCTAATATTTCAATTTTTGTTACAAAATATAACAAAATCACAAATATTACAAAAGAACATTTCAAAATATCTACAATACTACTGTGTAGTATTAATTTATTTCATGCACTTAATACAGCCGAAGTGATACCTCCCTCTTACATTTTCGTGAAGGCACATAAAAAACATTCAATAGAACATGCCAATAATTGATACAAATTTATAAAAAGTTAAATTATAAAAAACTATTATAAAAAAAAAAAAATTTACTATAAATCAAGTCTAATGTTTTACATAGTTACAGTATCATTATGTTACCCAATTATTATCACCTAGATGACTTTACTTGATGAAGGTTATGTTGCCTATGTAATACAAGACAAGCTAAAACAAATGTTTTGCTCATTAAGTAAATAAAAATAATAAACATACTGGTTGTGCTTAAGTTTTTAAAGTCACAAGTGGTAACTTGGATGGAACATGAATTCATTATGTGACTATGATATGGAGACACGAAAATGCAATTTTAGGAAGCATGGCATATGCATGGCTTTCCCACAGCCAGGTGGCAGTTGGCTTATGACCAGGTGGAATATAGCCCGATTGCATATGGCCAAGTGGCATAAGGCCAGACTGTAAATGTCCAAATGGCATATGGCCAAGTTGCATATATAACCAAGTGGTATAAAGGTGGCATATGGCCGGGTGGCATATGGCCAGATGACAAATGTATGGTTCGAATATGGTCACTTTGCATATGGCTAAATGCCATATGGCCAGGTGAATATGCCAAGATGACAAACTTCTGCACAATGGTCCTGATGTAACAGTAAAGATAGGTAAAGAGGCTGTGTAGCAACAGCCTAGTGGCCATGGGCCAGGCCAGGTGGCAACAGGCCTGGACTACATACAGTCAATTTATAGATTTTTGTTCATGGTTTGTTAGCAGTCTCCTCCCTTTTAACCTGATGACTGATATTGTAGGCACAGTCCAGCAACGCCTTTTGAACGTCATTCACGCATGCGATCTGGGTTTTAACAAGATTCGCATATTGTCCATACTTCTGAGCGTCCAATACATTGGGTTCTTGTTTGGCAAGAGGCAGCTGTATTGGTGTGTACCTCACACTGTATCCATGCTGCCTTGAGCATTCTAAGGCAAGACGCTGAAATTCAACAAATGAACGAATTAATCAAACAAACAAAAGAAAATTTCAGATTAAAATATAAATTCTTAAAAAAGCTGATTACAGAAAAAGGAAATCTGTCAATATATACACCATCAGAAAATTTAGCTAGAAGTTATGCACAATTACATCATATTCAAAATAATATTTACTGTGGATACAATAATTGATATACAGAATCAATAAAAAACAATTTTCTTAATTCTGTGTATTAATGTATTTAATATTATTGTATTCACAGAGTGTATATGTTTTTTTTTTAATTCATGAATAATAACAGTTCCTCTACTTAAGCCTCATAATGAAATTTTCATTTATAAAGCCTATTTCCAAGGTTTTAACAATGGCTTAATATTGAACAGATTTCTCAATAGAGTTAAACTTGCCTACGTTGAATGCAAAATGGCATTAAAAATTATTTGACTTACAGATTGTTAATTAATGGAAAACACAATGATTTGGCATGTATGTACTGTAAAATCAGATCGACATACAAATTATTTTAGATAGGCAAAGTCGACTTTAACTGTATACAAATAAATTAAAGCAACATAGTAAAATAAAGCAACATAAATACAAATTAATACAAGCTTACCAAATTCACTTCAATATAATCACAGTGAGAATAGAAATCCTCTAGTGCCTTGTCAAACCTATGCAATGTAGTTGAGTCGCCTACTTTCCTAGAAAAAACAAAAAGACCATTTTATATATATAATATATACACACACACACATATATATATATATATATTATATATATATATATATG